GCATAGTCAATAAAACATAGACATTCCTCTGGTACTCTCTGCTTTCAGCCAAGATCCATCTGACAGCTATAATATCCCTAGTACCACAACCCCTTCTAAACTCAGCCTGCACTCCTGGCAGTTCTCTGTCGATGTGCTGTTCTAGTTGTTTTTGGATAATCTTCAGCAGACTCTTGTTTGCATGTGATATCAATGATACTGTTCGATGATTTCCACACTCTGTCAGATCACCTTTGTTTGGAATGGGAACAAACATAGATCTCTTCCAGTCAATTGACCAGGTGGTTGTTCTCCAGATTTCTTGGCACAACATGGTGAACACATCCAGGGTAACGTCTGTTTGTTGAAATATGTCAATCTGTATGCCATCAATTCCTGGGGCCTTGTTTTTTGCCCATTTTTTCAGAGAAACTTGAACTTTTTCCTTCATCACCACAAGCTCTTGCTCATACGTTGTTTCATTAAATTCTTCTGTGTCAGCCAATTTCTTTTGGTACAATGACTCTGTATACTCTTTCCTCTTCTTTTAATGCTTCCTGGATCGTTCAATTTTTCAATCCAAAGTATCCTTAAGTATTGAACTTGAGGTTTGAAAGTTCAAATTTACCCAAAAGTACCTTAAATAAAGACTTGAAGAAAATCAGCCACTGGAAATTCAATGGACTCCTGTTCTACTTTGACACATAGGGGTCAAAGTTGACTTAATGCAGCCGGTTCTTCCTGGCCCCTGAGGCCCACAGCCCATCTGCAGCCCGCGAGTCAGATATTAGCACACGGAGTCTCTGCTTTGCAGGAAAACATGAATAGGATGTTGACCTCTAACTGACTTTATTCCTGAAAGGTGGCCATAGTGTGGAATGGAGCATGTTTGATGTTCTCTGGGTCACTCACGTAGAGAATTCACTTTCTATCCTGGTTCTGCTGAGAATGCAGGGGGAAATTATTCACTTTGAGTATCACACTTCTAGTTAGACTGACAGGTTTAAAAAAAATCCCTCTCCAAATAAAACTAGTAATGAATTAAATTCTATTATGTGTGTAAGATTAGCAAAATGTATGGTACAGAGCAATCTTTTGAGAAAGGGTCAATATATTATCACTCTATTTCTCCCCATATGGCCTTAGTCAAAAGAAGCCAAGACCACTTTATTAAGTTGATTCTGATTCATATTGATCTTATAGGACAGAATAGAACTGCCCATTGGATTTCCAAGACTGTAAAGCTATATGGGGAAGACTACCTTATCTTTCTCTCTCAGAGCAGCTGGCCAATTCAATCCTCCAACTCTAAGATCTCAGCATTCCAGTGCTTCATCTACTGTGCCACCCATGACCTTGAATGCTGATTAACCCCCTATTGTTGTTGCTAAGTGCCGTCTAGTTGAGCACGACTCATAGCGAGCCTACACACAAAAGCCCTGAATCCTGTTCTATAACTATTGTCGTTTCTCTAAATTCATAGTTTCCAGAGGCATCTTGGTTAGGAAGTTGATGCCACTCCTGCTTCCAAGGCTATCTTAACCTGGGAGCTCCACCAAATACTGTCCACCATCGGTAACTGTTATGGCATTTGACACACTGGTGGCACAGGGTTTAGTATCATAGCAACCCCAGGTTACCTCAATAGAGCAAATTGGCAGACAAGATCCTATGGTGAAAGTTCCCAAAGAAATAGGAAAAAGGTCTCCAGAATTAGGTGAATATTGGAACTATGTCTTTGCCTTTCTTTCATTTCCCTGGCTTCTTATTTTCTGCTTCTTTAATATGAATTGAATAGTCTATCACACAACTAATGTTGCAAGATGCTAGTGTGTGTGTGTGTGTGTGTGTGTGAGAGAGAGAGAGAGAGAGAGAGAGAGAGAGAAGCAGGTTATAAACAAGTAATGAAGGTCAGGTCTCCCTCTTAAGAGGCTCGATGTCTTACAAAGCCCATCCAGTTAAGGCCTGGGCTTCTAATGTCATCAGCAGGTGGGTCTCTTGTTCCCTCTCTAGACCTCAGTTGTACACATCTGTTGGAAGAAGAGAATCCACCTTTTCTCCATCTGCAGGAGGAACTGGATCATCAGTCTTTCGATTGTTGGTCATGAGCCTTTTCCTTTTCAAGGACTTTGTTCCCACAAGGATGCAGTAAAGCAGCAGCGCTCTGTCAGTAAGGAGTCCAGTGGTCGTGGTTATGGTTGAGTTGATGCTGACTCGGGTCAGCCCCGTGAGTACAGAGGAGGAGCATTCCATAGAGATTGAAAAACTGTGACCTTCTGGAAGCAGAGCAAGAGGCCTGGTCTTGCAGTTCCCTGGGCCTCCTCTGGTTCCACTAAGGTTTGGGAATGAATGAGAAGCGCCCTTCTTACATCAGGGCATTTTCAGAGCACTCAGATGGTCCTGGCTGTAGCCTGACTCGGGTCCCATCACTCCCACTTCTCTTGCTCTGGATCCTTTCACTCATCCTATGGCGTCCATCCCATCTCCACAGGCCTTAAGTTGTCAGCTGTGGCCTAGAGCACGGGAGGTGTAACCCATGAGACAGGCAGTTCTGCCGTGGGGTTTATAGCAGCCAACGAATGGCTGAGAATATCATGGAGTGGACCTAGAACATGCTTTATGGGACCTGTCCAGGCAGGAGAAAGATGATTTATAACCGGTTTTGTTCCAGGCTTTTCCTCCAGTGAAGAGCCCTGGTGACACCATGGTTAAAGTGCTTGCTTGCTTGCTAGCTAACTGAAAACTCTGTGGTTCAAACCCATCTACTGTCCCATGGGGGAAGGGGAATATGATAATCTGTACTATGAAAGATTTACAGTTTTGGAAAGCTTAATGGGGCAGTTCTTCTCAGTCCCGTAAGGTCACTACTAGCAGAATTGACTTGATGGCAATAGATTTGGCTTGTGTTGGTTACTTTCCTAGTAATGAATAAAGAGAAGGACCTAGCCTCTCTCCTGAAAGGGGAGTCTGTCAGAGCAAAGCCAGTTCTGAGATGAGCCTGGTCTGAGCTTAGGAAGGTGTCGTGTACAAAATGGTCATGGTGGTGGCTGGGGAGCCAGCAGTCCTGAGACTACCACAGGCATTTACATAGACATCCTAAATATGATTTTCACTTCTGAAATGAGCTATATATAATCAATTCAGTGGCACCTGACAACAACAACTGGCAAAATAAAATCTGCCTTTTTTATTATATTACCAAGACTATGTGATATAATGCCTGCCAAGCATGCAGTACGATGTCTAATGCTCACTAGCGCGTACTAAGTGTTTCTGTGACTGTTCTATCACTACCACCATTGGCCTCATCGCCATTCAGGAAGCCCGGACGCAGGGAGGAACACATCCAATTTCAATGGCAGCCTCCAGGCAGGACCAGGAGAACATAGCCCTGGAAAGCAAGGGAGCCAGTATAAGCAGCCACCCTCCAACAGCTGCCCGCCCGTTGGCCTCAGAGACTCCACAAGCCAATGTGGTGATCCAGGATGAGAAAGCCAACTCCCGGCTGTCTGCAGTAGCCAATAGTTGTCTTTGCTGTTAAGTCAGAACTGACTCATAGCTGATATTCTGGTGAATGGTTCAGAGGCTGTAAATGACAGAGGAGGAAATTGCCCATCTTTCTCCCACAAAGTTGACTGGGGGATTCAAACTGCCAGGAGGTCGTGGTTTGGGGTTAGCAGCCAAAAGTCCCTCAGACTGTGCCCCAGTGGCTGCTCCGGTGAAGCCAGACATGTAGAACTTTGGAACCATGGTGGCACAGCGGTTAGAACACTTGGGGTGCTAACTGAAAGTCTTTTCAAGATGTATAGCCTTGGAAAGCCAAGGTAGTCCTGGAGCGTTTCTGTGGGTCAGAATCAAGTCACAGCAAAGAGTTTGTGATCTGGGGGATCAATACAAGCTAATTACTAAAAGAGGCTAGCCTATCTGGTCAAATACAGAGTCGGAGAGCACGAAGGGAGCCCTCAATGAGACGGATTGACACAATGGCTCCAGCAGTGGGCTTCGATACACCAAGGGTCATGAGGATGGTGCAGCACAGGGCGCTGCTTTGTTCAGTTACACACCAAGTGGCCACGAGTCAGGCTGACCTGACACCCGCTAACAGCAGGATGAGGTGCCCTTAACTGCCACCAAGTCAGCATTGCCACTTTAAACACCAGAAGGATAGGCCCCATTGCTGAACTGGTCTCCACAGGCACAGCCCGGCACGCAGTACCCAGCAAAGACTCTTAGAACCAGGGGCTAGCAAGTAGAAAGAACACAGTAAGGGAGGTCTACACTATTAATACAGTTGCTTCCCCGTTTATCTTGTGGGGCTCGCCCTGGAGGCTCAGAATGAAATAGTTTCTGACAGATAACAATAACCCTACAAGAAGGGGAAATATGGAGAGAAAACATGTTTGCTGACCATGTCAACTTTCAGTTACATATTTTGAATTTCCCCCCATGAGGACAATGCTCAGTGGTGAGGTGACATCTATGTTTAAGACTAATTTCTTGGTAAATGGCCATAAGGGTCTATACACTATGGGACCAGGAATAGGTATACATGGAGCTCGCCCCAGCCATCAGCCAGATGTATTTGGTGTGAGATACAGCTGGGAAAGTGGGCACTGATTTTGAGTGTGGACTGTTGTGTCTCTTGTCTCCCAACTCCCTGATGAGTCCTAGGCTCTCCTGGGTCAGTTCAGAAGCCACTTCCTCCCTGAGGCCAGCATGAGAAAGGACACAGCCTGGTGGGAGGGTTATAACTGTAAGCTTGCAAGGACAGTGGAAAAGGGATAAGGCTGGAACTGGCAACTTCCTTTGCTGGTTTCCACGTGGGAGGAGCCTTAGACGAGAGCCTCTATGCAGCGGAAAGTGGGGGTAGAAGTCAGTAACCCTCCATACCTCATACAGTGTCCCTGGCCATCCGGGGTGTCTGCAGGGCACCTGTCCCTGTCATTGTCTGCCTGTCCTTGTGCGCGGCAGCCTCTCAGCTCCTGGCTCACCTGTCCACTCTGTCCCTTTCTCCTCTGCAGGTCTGGCTGTCCATCAGATCATCACCATCACCGTCTCCCTCATCATGGTCATAGCTGCCCTGATTACAACTCTTGTCTTAAAAAATTGGTAAGGATCCTTGACCGAGCCTGGGAGTGGGGGGTTCTAAGCGTAGGGAGCCTTATTGGTGTGATGGTTAAGCATTTAGCTGCTATCCATAAGATCAACTGTTCAAGCCCACTATCTACTCCATAGAGAAAAGAACTGATGGTCTCCCATACAGACCACAGTTCAGGAAGCCCTGTGGGATAGTTCTGCTCTGTCTTATAGGGTCACTATAGAACTGACAACAAGAAGGGGACCCCTTAGAAGTGGGCACAGTGAGGTCCCTGCTTTTCACATCTGACCCAGGTCCCAGACAGAGAGGATCAGTGTCCCCGTTTTGATCTAAGACTCCAGCCAGGTCCTTACTGCTATTCTAGGCTCTTCTGCCTTCAGCCATGGCGCACTTTGGCCAGGATAGGGACACTGCCAGGCCTCTGTCCTTTGGGATGTGGCCTTTTCCGCTGACTTTTTGAACACTCTGGGATTACCTTAGCCTCCTTGAAAAAGTTATTGAATTTTAGCCTATCCCCAGATCTGATCCAAGTGTACCTCTGGATGGAGCCCGCTAAAGCACAAACCTTTATTCTTTTCCCTCTTAGCCTTCTCTGGAAAGGCTGAAACAGCACCCTGCTTCTCAGCTTCCCAGGCGGGAGCATGCCCACCTATCACTGCCCCTGGGCCATCCATCACCAGCTTTCCTTGTTCTAAGCTTGTCTACCCCTGGCAGCCGCTCTGTGTTCGTGGAAATAGGTTATGGCTTGCTACAGGCGGCCGCTCTCGCCTGCTTCCTCGTGGAAGCTGGCCTACTTTGAGACTGGCCTTGCAAGTGTGTGCACCTGCTGCTCCCCTGGGAGACTCAAGGGATGCTGGGCAGCCCTGCTGCTCACCTGGGGCGCCGGAGGCTCCAGTCTGCCTGAAGTGACTCCTGCAACAGGCATACCTCCTTTGAGCAGAGAAGCCTACACTCCTGTATGGAATGAGGGAGCTGTTTCTCTAGATAGCGGTAGTGTTCAGGGAACTCAGAAGATAGAGACAGCAGGGGAGCTCCTAGGATCATCAAGGGAGGTCTCGGGGTGGTTGTTGTTGATTGCCTTTGAGTGGAGCATGACTCATAGTGACCCTGTGCACAACACGCCTGAAGCCCCTGGAGGCAAAAATACCTAGGACAGGGACCACAGTGACCTTAGTAGAGTGCAGACGTCACATGGGCTGCACCAGGACACCTGGTAGCCATCTCCTAATGATTGATAAAATCTGGGTCCATTGCTTTTTGGTAACAGTTGATGAGGAAAGCGTAGCAGCTCACAGAAGGGCTTCTTGACCAGTGCTGAGCAGAGAAGGGCCTTTGAACCCCTCAGTGGTATGGCTACGTGACCGGAAATTCCATGGACAGAAGGACGTGGCTTACCTTATTGAAGGAACATCATTCTCTTCAAAAGAGAAAGTTGACTTTGTCATCTGTTGTTCGATGAATGGACAGACATTGCTTAGGTTTTTCAGCACACTGGGATCTACGTAGCATTGATATGTTGTTGTTGTTATGTGCCATTGAGTTGCTTGCGACTCATAGAGACCCTACGTATAACAGCCCTAAACTCTGCTCTGTCCTGTGCCAATTGCACTGTCTCTGATACACCCATCCCAATTATCCCAGTCACTGAATCAATCCACCTCATAGAGGGTCTCCTCCTCCTGAGCTGTCCCTCCACCCTCCCAAGCATGATGTCCTTCTCCAAGGACCGGTCCCTCCTTACAACATGACCAAAGTATGCCAAATGAAGCCTCAGAACCTTGCCGCCAAGGGGCATCCCAGTTTAACCCTTTCCAGGATGAATCTGTTTGTTTTCTTAGCAATCCGTGGTATATTCAGTACTCTTCTCCATCACCACAGCGCAAAGGCATCAATTCTGCTTCTATCCTCCCTAGTCATTGTCCAACTCTCTGATGCATAACAAGTGATTGCAAAGACCATGGCCTATATCAGATGCACCTTAGTCTCCAGAGAGACACCCTTGCTCTTGAGTACTTTGGGGAGGTCCCTAACAGCAGACTTTCCCATGGCAATACATCTTTTAATTTCCTGGCTGCTGGGGCCAAGACTGTTGTCTGTGGAGTCAAGCAAACTAAACAATCTCAATCTCTTCACCATCCATCCTAATGCTGCCAATTGGTCCATAGTAAGTTAAAAATGAGACTACTGATGAACACGTTGGCAGTTCAAACCCACAAGCTACTCCTTAGGAGAAAGAAATCTGCTCCTGTTAAGATGAATATCCTGAGGAGCCCAGTGAAGATTTGTTAAGAGTTAGAATTGATTATTTGGTGGTAGACTTGGTTTTGAGTTGGGAGGCCTTGTGAAAAAGAAATGGGGCCCAAGAGAGGTGGGTGACACCAGGGAAACGGAAGATGAGTGTGTTCCATGAACTTGAAATAGAGCTTCCTCTGCGGAAAACTTTTCAGGTGGGTCTAACATTCATTCATCTTCTAATCTTTCTGGATGGGTCAGGGCTCCTACTGCAGGAACTGGGATTTCTTCCATTGAGAAGATGAAGAAGGCGAGGAATGGCCGGGACTCAGATGGAGACTGGAGTCATGAACTATCCCCACTCTACCCTACAGTCCCTTATCCCAGATGGACTCTGAGCATAAAGACTGAGGGGACACAAGGCATCCCTGGACCCCTGAGCCACAGAGGTGTCGCTCCCAGCCACCCTCCTGCACACCTTGATGGGGCTGGTCCCTCTTCATTCGCAAAAACCTTATCATCAGAAGTCAGGCCCCAGGGAAAGCCACTGGTTACCCTCCTTCACCCATGACTGCTGGTGGTGGGACTCCCATGCCTGCCCTGAGTTGTATCTCCCATGATCCAGAGGACTGACAAACACAGACAGGCAAGGAACCCTGGCAGCAGAACCACTCTCAGCAGCTAAGCTAAAGGTCTGTAGTTCAAAACCATCCAACAGTCCCTCGGTGGTAAACTCTGGCTATTTGTTCTTGTTAAGATCACACAACCTAGAACCACCCATGGGGTAGTTATGCTCTGGTTTTTATAGGTTGGAATGAAGTCTGTGACACCTTACAACAGGAGTTCCAGGGGTGAAGGGCAAACTGCTCTCAATTCTAACCTGGGAATGTTGGTTAGTGAGGGGCCGGGGACCAGCAGTTCTGAGCTTATTGCTCTCCCTAAAGATAAGTCCACTCTAGGAAGAATTACTGGCCCATCACACGAAGACCCTTGCTCCACCCCACACCAATTCCATGGCTGGTACACACCCTGCTTTTCCATCCCATTGATGAACTTCTTGGGGAACCATCTGACTTCTTTGAGCAAAACAAGGCCAGGCTCCCCAATAACACAGCTCAACCACTTATCTCCTAATTCTCCCTGCAATAATGGCCCACATTTAAAATTGAAATTTTCTACAAAAAAAAAAAAAAGTCCTGATTGCTTGATTGTGGTTGATCCTTCTGAAGAGTCTGGGAATTACCACTTACTATTAACTCAGGTATAATTAATGCTTGGCAGTGAAGGTTCTACATTCAAGTGCTGAAGTTGTGTTTGTGAGTTTGGTGTTTGCCCCACATCCCTGCCTCATCCTGTGTCCCGTGTACCCCCACCCACATCCCACCCCAACTCCTCTGTCTTCCAGCTGTGCCCAAAGCGGGAACACGCGCCGGAACAGCCACCAGCGGAAGATTAACCAGCAGGAGGAGAGCTGCCAAAACTTGACCGACTTCACGCCCGCCCGGGTGCCCAGCAACCTGGACATCTTCACCGCCTATAACGAGACCTTGCAGTGTTCGCACGAGTGTGTCAGGGCATCCGTGCCCGTCTACACCGACGAGACGCTGCTCCCGGCGGGCGAGTACAAATCCACCTTTAATGGAAACAGGTAAGCTCAGAGTTGGGTATCCCTGGGTGTTGCAAAGCTCTTTGAGGTGCAGCCCCTCACAGGCCCTGGAGCTGGGGTGCAGACAAGGAGGGACCATTGACATGTTGGAGCCTATCTTGAATAAGTGCCAACAGCCCGTATGGCAAACCAAGAGGGGAGGGTAGATACGAACAGTTCTCCAGAGACAATAACCCAACCAGAATCCATTTCCAGGGCTCTGGCTTAGTGGTAAGGAATTGCGCTGCCAACACAAAAGCACATGGTTTGAATCCACTGGCAGTTCTGTGTCAGAATGATGGGCAGTCTTTTCCCATGTGATTAAATGCTTCTGAAAATCTGCTGGAGGGTCAGTTATGACTCAATGGTACACACCAACAAAGGCGCTTGTCTCTTCTCTCTCTCTCATGGTTGTTGAGTCAGAACCAGCTCACAGCTGACCCTCCAGCTAGTTTTCAAAGGCTCGAAATCACGCAGGAGATCGGCCATCATTCTCCTGCAGAGCAGCTGGTGAATTCAGCCCCCCTGGCCTTGAGTCGGTAACCTAACTCCTTACCCATTAAGACACCCGAGCGCCCCAGTTATCTAGTTGTTTAGTGGCTGGAAGAGCATCCAGCTGCTGGAAGCCGGAAGCACAAGTCCACGACGACAGGGCTCCCAGCCTCCTCCTTGGTTCAAACACCAGCTCTGCAACTGCTAGCCTTCCAAAATGCCAGCAAATGAACCAGGATGTCTGGGTTCCCATCAATAAAATGTCAGCGGCAAATCTAGCAAAAATATCAAATACCAACCAGGCTCCTTGACCAGACATTCTTTTTTAATTAAATGTTCTTTTTCATTATTCATGCATAATCCCTCAAAGAAGACATGCCCCTCGAACCATCCCTTGGACTATTTAAAGAAACTCTTGAGTCAGCTTCCCAAGGTTTATCCAGAATTAAATTAAAATATCAATAAGCTATTTTTTTAAAAATGAGCATGCCCTCATGCATCATTTTGCAAATTAAAAAAAGTCTCCCACAACTTAGAAACCTTCGGGAGAAATGAGTAAGACATCAGGCTGATGGACTTCTGTTTAGCAGTTGAATTAGTTCAAGGGAACACTGCCCGAAGTTCTGAAAAATGGCTCCTGTTGGAGCCTGGGGTGAGGAGAACGGGTGGGGGAGGCAACTTCTAGAAAGGACCATTTGTTTCCTTGCTTCTGTGGGGCTGGTGGATTTGCTCTGAGACTAGACATATTGGGGCCAACTCTGGTGCCCCCATACTAATGTGTCCTTTTCCCGGCCACTGAAGGAGTATGGGATCTTCAAGTGCCTTCTTGTACACCTCCCTTTAGACCTCCATACTTGATTCTAGAATCTTCTCTTCAGTAGGGGAACAATCTCAGAACCACTATTCTAAATAATTTTAATTTCACCTGCAATATTTGAAGACTGAATCCACAAATAATTTGCCAAGGGATTTTAAAACTACTTTGTTTAATGTCTATGTGTTGGTCTGCATATGAATCCTAGCTAACCAGTTCTGGGGTCTTGGATGTGGGGCGGGGGCTGTGAAGAAAGACATGGGCTATCAGTTGGTGGTTTTGTTTGCATTTTTGTTCCCCTGTTGTTGTGTTGAGCACCCTGTCCATGTCATGGGTGGACCTGGTGGGAGATCTTATATCCGGGTGTGGAAGTATTGGTGGAAAGAGTTCTTGCTTATTGTGCTAAGGTCATGCTCTCTTGGGTTCCACTGGATCTGGGTGAATGGTGGCTTGGTGTCCACCTTGATAAAAATGACTGTGTCATTCTCTGAGTCAGGCTTGTGCCTTCTCCTTAATGTGAAGTAAAGAGGGCTTTGAACATCTGCTCTTGGGTATAAGGACCCTGGGCTCTGGGCTTGTCCTGTAGATTCCAAAACAAAAATTTAAGCATTGCATAGCTATGCTGGAAAGCCAACCTTCTGACCACCATGCAAAAGCCCATAGAATCCCCTGGCTTAATGCACTCAGAGCCACTGCGGGTGAATGGCAAGTGTGGGGTGTAAGAGCCTTTTTGTGTGCACCGAGAGGCACAGGCGTCTGTCCTTGTGAGTCGCCCTCAAGTCCCAGGAGAGCATTCCCTTCCTGGGAGCCTTTTCTTCCCAAGTTCCCTGCAGCAGGCCTGACCGGCTTGCCTGTTGTGTGTTATGTACCAGCACGTGCAAGCCCATTTTTCTGCTCGCTGCAGACCCTCTTCTTCTGATCGGCATCTTATTCCTGTGGCCTTTGTGTCTGAGAAATGGTTTGAAATCTCCTGCTGACTGGCCGAAGACTTTTTTACCTCCTGGGGGCAGGGCAGACGCCATGTGTCTGTTTCATGGTATGTACTTCTCTTGGTTCCTTGATTGGTTTTTGTGTTGGGTTTTTCCCCCTCCATTCTCCTCTTTTCCTCACCTTTCCCAACCGTGTCTCCACTTAGAGATAGTAGGGAACCCTTCTTGGTCTGGTGGGAGGGGGTTTCTTGAGGTATGTTGTTGTTATTGTTGTTATGTGCTGTCGAATCGCTTGCGACTTATAGTGACCCTATGTACAACAGCCCTAAACTCTGCTCTGTCCTGTGCCAATCGCACTGTCTCTGACTCTCCCATCCCAATTACCCCAGTCACTGAATCAGTCCACCTCATAGAGGGCCTTCCCCTCCTGTGCTGTCCCTCCACCCTCCCAAGCATGATGTCCCTCTCCAAGGACCGGTCTCTCTTTACAACATGTCCAAAGTATGTTAGATGGAGCCTCAGAATCCTTGCCTCCAAGGAGCCACCCGTTTTAGCCCTTTCCAGGATGAATCTGTTTGTTTTCCCAGCAGTCCATGGTACCCTCAATACTCTTCTCCAGCACCACAGCTCAAAGGCATCAATCCTCCTTGGTCATTGTCCAACTCTCTGATGCATAACAAGTGATAGCAAAGACCATGGCCTGTATCAGATGCACCTTAGTCTCCAGAGAGACACCATTGCTCTTCAGTACTTTGGAGAGGTCCCTAACAGCAGACTTTCCCATGGCAATGCGTCTTTTAATTTCCTGGCTACTAGTGCCAAGAGTGTTGACTGTGGAGCCAAGCAAATTAAAGCTGTGAACACTCTCAATCTCTTCACCATCCATCCTGATGTTGTCTCTTGTGGTATAGTTTATTGAAGTGCAAACTGGGATGCTCGACTTTTGGGACATTGGTTGCATTTGTTAGAAGGGTTCCCCCATATTCCACATGAAAGTAGTGACAGATGTTCATGCACCCCAGTTTCAGCATTATGCCTACAACTGTCAGTGCCAGCCCAGCCCCCCAGGGAAGGCTCCGAGGAACATCACTTGGATGGTGGAGGGAAACTCACTTCTCAAAGCAAGTTACAATTACAGTTCTCATTCCTCTCAATGGGAAGATATGAGAGCAGCAGCTCAGTGGGCAGGAATCACGCCTCCATCACATGTCCTTACATGGGGAGGAGGGTGCAGAGCAGAATTAAAATACAATTTTGAAATATAAAAATAAGAGATAAGAGAGAAAATGATAAAGAAAGAAAGTGAAGAGTTGAGACATCTACTAATTTGAAGCCGGGGACTGGTACCCAAACAGGATGAATTTTCCATGCTCTGTTGGATAAGAACATTTGGTTTGCTTTCAATGATATTAACTTTAATGCTAACGTTAAATTGCTTTCTTCTGTGCTGAATCTTCCGAAGGCTCGGGCTGCCGGCTGGAAAGTGCATTTTGCCTAGTTGACTGCATATTCTATAAGCAGTCTAGATGCAGCCCCGCCCAGAGGTGGATTTTTTTTTCTTGCTTGTTGTTTGTGATTTTTTTTTCCTTCTCATTTTTTGTCTCCTTTTTATGCGAGGTTTTCTAAGGATTCACATTTTGCTCTTCATGCTAACCCACAGAGCTAGTCTCTACCTGTCTCCCCCCAAAAAATGTTCCTTTTAAGTATGGTATCAAGTCCTTCCCAGAGGACTGAACAGTCTCACTGCAGTGGAGTCAAATCCCACTCAGAGCAGACCTACCACTGGTGCTGTGGAGCTGCTGGTGGATTTAAACTACCAGGAAGGCGTGACCATTGTGTTAACAGGGCTTCTCCCTACAGACTACGCCATCAGAGCTCCCTGATTAAGAAACCAATTTTGGAGTGGGATATTAATGTTGGAAAATTGTTGTTCACTACCGTCCATGAGGCAGCCCAGGGTTCCTGGTGACTGGGTGTAAAACAGAACAGAATGCTGCCCGGACCTGCATCAGTCCCCGTAATCAGTTGTGGATTAGACCTGTGCGATCCACAGGATTTGCACTGGCTGACTTTTGGAAGTAGATCACCAGACCTTTTTTTGGAAGTATATCACCAGACCTTTCTTCCTGCTCCATCTTCGCCTAGCAGTCCTGCTTACAGCACGTGGATGATAGCTACCTATGAAGAGCACTGACCTAAAATCAGAGTCACGTCTCCCACATGAAAATCAAGAATGCTACCGCTGCCTTATTTAAAAACTGTCATTTCCATTTTACTCATCTTTTGATGTGGACAGCAAAACAGAACACGTTCATGGCAGAGGAGGTAAATCAGGAACATGGTGCTTTTTGGCTTTGGTTGGTGGTTTCTGGGTGTTTTATTTATTTTTTTTCTTTTTCTTTTTCTTTTTTTTTTTAGTGACACAGGTAGCCTTCTGAGGACTCAGTTTGTGGCACTTAACTGGGGCCAGGGTTGTCAACTGCATGAGAAATAGAAATGATTCATTGGTCCCTAATCTCAGCACTCTTTGCTTCAGAGCAGGCTTCCAGCCCTCACTGCCAGTCTTGAAGCCAACATGGCCCTCTGGGCACCGTGTTCAGCCAACAAGCAGAGGATGTAATTAGATTGAATGGAAACAAGTTTGTATCTGAAGGTCCCCACTGCGTCCATGTGGGTCAGGAAGATCCGTTCTATTGCCCACGTTCCAGGCACAGCTCACAAATCAGAACCACATCCTTCCTGGGCCCCCGTGGCACTCATCCAGGCTACAGACTGAGCTTGTTCTGGAGCTCCAGCCAAGTCAATTCCAGACAGCTTGCTTCATAGCAGCAGGGTCTGTGGCCTTCCTGGGAAGCTCGCACGGGCCACGGCCAAGGGGGGGCCAGTGTCACCACGAAGACTGAACATCAGAATGGCAGGAAAGTATAACTTGCACAGAAAGACCTCCTCCTGCCACAGTCATCTGCCATTTATACTGCAGGTAGAGGGAGCTCTGGAGGCCCAGTGGATACGGAGTTGGGCTGTCAACCTAAAGGCAGATAGGTCAAACCCCAAACACACCAACTGTTTCACTAGAAAAAGACAAGCAATCTTCTCTCAATGCAATTGGCAACCTCTGAAAATCCACTGAAGGGTCATCTGTGAGTCTTTTTCTACTTGACGGCTATTAGTGAGGGAGTGACTGCAGGCAGCTCCCTTCAGCAGATGTGGGAAGCCCTTTCCCAGTGAGGTAGGGGCGTCCCTCGGATGTATGGTGGATTCAGCTGCAGATCCCCACAATAGAACAAATATCCCAGTAAAGCAAGTTACATGGATCTTTTTATTTCTTTTTTTTTTACACTCTATTCCATTAAGTATACATTAGGATAAATTTGAAGTACTGTGCCAATAAACAAAATGTACCACACAAAAGTGAGCACACGGCATTGGAAAAATAATACCGATGGACTTTTGGGATTGACACAAACGTTCAGTTTGGGGGAAAATACCACTTCTGAGAAATGCAAGGAAAATAAGTGTGGCTGCATGTTCGACACAGCTTGTCGGCGCTTTGCTCACCGCCTGCCTAGAATTGCTCAAAGCATTTGGTATCAGGAACTCACTAGGTCCTCCTAACACTCGTATTTTGCAGATGACGGAGCTGAGGCTTCAGGGACGGTTAGTGACTTTCTGAGGTTCACCATGTAGCGGTGAGGCTGCACTACCCCCAGCCAGCCCGACACCATGGTTACTTAACTATTTGCCCCACAAGTCAGAAGTGTTTCCATCAATCCCTTCACAGTGTCCTAGCTGCACCCTTCTCCACCGTGCCTTAGCGTCTTGTTTCAGTGCCCAGCTCAGCCTTAAGAGATTCCCAACCCCAAGTGGGTTGACATTGGAATTTCTCATTTTTTTCCTATATTTTATTAATTTTCATAAACATTTACAGAGATTTTGGGTTTCCATTCATTCATTGTTGCACTATTCTCTCTACCCTCCTCCCAGTTTGTTCTTGTCCAAATGCCACAGTGCTTGTCAAAGCCATTTCTGATTAATCTTCTTTGTCAGTGTGTCCTTTTCCATTCCCTCTCACTCCTCCCTGAGACTTCACCCTGAGTCATAAGGAAAAGGGGATGGCGTATTCTCTTAGCTACTTCCTGCTGAAAAGGGACGCTGTGGGTTTCAGGGTGAAGATCTTCTCTCACTACTCTAAAGGGCCCCTTTGGCAGTAGGAAACACATAGACTGTTATGGAGATTGATTTTGGAATTTAGATGCACTCTTATTGATTGTGCTTGGCCGTACATGTTCATATCCCTGAAGATGTATCATGGGGGTGTTGCAACCTAGAAGACACAAATTTGACTAACAAGTTATAAGTACATGAGTCCAAAAATTATGGAAAAGTAAAAGAAAAGATTCTTTCATTGTTTTACAAACCCTCCCCCAGGTCCCCTCCACCATGTAGCCCTCGCTCTAGTCTCCTGTGATGACAGAAATACCTAGTTATATATCTCTTTTAAACAGTTTTCTCCCTCCTCTGTTTCAGTGCAGTATACATTATTGAACCCATCTTACTCAGTCTCTCCCCAACCCCAAGGACAGTCCCATTCTACAACAGTGGCATCGTGTAATATTTGTCCTTTTGTGACTGGGATATTTCACTCAGCATAATGTTCTCCAGAGTCAACCATTTCTCATTTGGCTGCTCTCTTCAGGATGCAGGGAAGCTGTCTCGAAATATTAAAAATTTGCTTGCCCCTTTAGAATAGGATGCCTAGCACCCACTGTAAAAAAACAAACTTGTAAGACATGTGTTTTAGTTTGTTCCTCCATCTTCCATAGATTTTCCTGATTGCTGTATCCAACTTAGGAGTTAGAACGTCCCTCCTAAGACATTCTAGTTAGAGCCTGGGGAAGGAAGTGCTTCCATCTCCCTAGAGACAGATTAAGGAAACGTGGACCCGATTGGTGAGTCCCTATATGGTTCAATTAACACACTTGGTGATGTCAATTGTTCAGGTCCATGTAGCACCTATTCAGAAGAAAGACTTGCCAGTCTACTTCCAA